TTTATTATTATATTTATATAATTACATTTGTTTATTCGATCAAACTAGTTAACTAAGGAGTCATTTATCCGCACACTCACCCAGTAAGCGTTTATCGGTAGAATTCAACACTATCGCATACCTTACCAAGTAAAATTTTAGTTTATTAAAAAAGATCACATGCAACAATTTATCTGATAAGGCGTTAACCAGGTAAGAGTCGTCGTCTCATTTACCGGGTAAGACTTTTCGGTTCTTATCATTGCTCTTACTAAATAAGATTTTCGGTCTTTGACATGTTAATCTAATAACATAATATGGCTTGGTAGATACTTATCAAGTTGAGATCGAGGTCGACCGAGTGTGACTGTGTGAAGTTTGAAGAGGGTCGCAAGCGACTAGTTGGCTGAGACCGGAGAGAGTGGCTAAACACTGATATTTTTTCTATCATTAGGATTGAAAGGGGCATATTGGTGGTTCTTTTAATATTGTAAACCCTTCTATATGCTAATAATATTATTGTTAGAAGATAGTTAGGGGGCTTGTCACCAGCCTGTAGGGGTGCTCAAAAACCCGATGAACCCGACCAACCTGACCAACCCAACCTGAATTTAAAAAAAACTCAACCCGAGGTAACCCGATGCATGATCGATAAAAAAATTAGCCAACCCGACCTTATTGGGTTGGAATCGGGTCAGACCCAAAAAAATCCGACAACCCGACCTTAACTTTAGCTTTGAATTGTAGATGACAATCATGACATGACCAACCTCAACGTCAAGAAAGCGAAAGCATCGAGGTTTGATCCGTCTAAAACTATTGTTGTTGATTGATGTATTATCATTTGGTTTAAACATTTTTATTGTAATATCTAAATATTTGATAAACTTGCATATTATCTTGAATGGTCGGTCGTATCTCAAATGAAAGTTTCCTTTATTTTTATGTGATTTTACATTGTTTAAACACAACCCGATCAACCCGAACGGGTTGGGTTGGGTTGAACTTTTGTTTGGGTTGGGTTGGGTTGAAAATTTTCAAACCGCCAACATTGGATTGGGTTGTTAAAACGGCTCCAAACCGATCAACCCGGGCCGTGAGCACCCCTACCAGCCTGCCCCTGTTGTCAACGCCTCTGTGCATAACAATTTGAAATTTAATCATAAGGGTGGTGTTTGATTGGTTTGAGTTTATACTCTAAAGGTTAAAAATGTTTCAAGGTCCCAGGTTCGAATCCAAGGAAGAATAAAAATCCTCTTGTGACTGCGGAGGTTCAGATGCAGTGACTTTGGGGGTGGTCGCCCATGAATTAACCAGCTGACATAGCGGGAGGATATCTAGGTTAATAAAAAAAACATATTGAAATTTAAAACCCTTAAAGAAATGTCAAACATATAGAGGGAGGCAGGGGCGGGTGCAATGTTAAAAAGGAGGGGGGAAGGGACCTCAGTCAAAAACTCAAAAAAAAAATCATAGGTTAAAATTTAGGTTTTACATGATTTACCTTTCACTTCCCCCCATTACATTTTTCCACGGGTCCCCAACTCCAATCAAAACTATTACTTTAACCAAAAAAATCTGTTGAAATCAATAAAAAAACCAAAAAAGTTATTTAAAATCAACAAAAACACTAAAAAAATCCTTCAAAATCAATCAAAAAACTTTAAAATTCCCTCGAAAATGTTCTAATTAGGTTAAAAACACATCGGACGATTTTGTGGGTCTTTAGTCTACCTTAAAGGTGACCCCGCTGAACAAAAATCCTGGATCCGCCACTGGAGGGAGGACTCGAAATTGGAGGTCGTGGATGGATGATTTTTTGTTGAAATCATGACCTATAAGTTTGTCTTTTATTGAAGATTTAAATCCCTCTAAAAATTTTTAGCAATTGAGAGAGTTTTGAAAGAAAAATCGACTGGAGAATAGAATTAGGGTTCTTATGGTTCATACGCTAATTTGAGGTGAGTTAGATGTTAAAGTTGCAATTTATAGATCCATATTAGTTGTTTGATATGTTATAGTAGTTTTATAATCTTGTTTCGTCAAAATTGGGGCTCGAGGACCACTGATTTGGCTAGAAACAGCGTCGGTGGCGATGTTGTGTAGAAGCCGAAACAAATAACACAAAATTAGAGCCTCGTTACTTTGTAATAGTTGGCAATTCTTGTTTTAATAAGTATTATAAAATGTTAGCAAGGTTTTAACGCAAAGAGAACGAAGAAAAATGGTCGGGGAATGACATAATTAAGTGTTGTTGGATTCCATCAGGTCAACGAGAAAGATTTGTAGATCGATTTTTGTGTCGATTTGCAGGTAAGGTCTACACCAGGTCCACCTAGACCTGGTTCGGGTTTGGGCCTTGTCCTTATGGGCTTAATATTTAATTTACAAGTCGGGTTACTTTTTTGATGTATATACATTATCAACCCCCTTTCTCTCCCATCAAACCGATATCTAGTTACGTAATTTGAAGGCCATCAATATCTAGATGACGAGAGTGTACGAGGCGATGGTGACAATAATGCAATAACATGGGTTTTAGACGAGGTATGGGTTTTTGTTTCAAGTGACTCGTGGTAATGGTGGTTGATAGTTTGTGATAAGGGTGGGATTGGGT